AATGAAATTCAGATGCATTATAAAGCAACACCTTCAGATTGTAGGAGGGATTTTTTCCTCAGATCTGCCTGTTATTCAGCACAAATTACATGTATTAAATGTCACATTCTTTTCAGCAGGTGCTCAGCCTCTTGCCTCTTCCTGGGTCAAAATTTCTATAATTACTTTTATTTTGCACAATGGCTCATTTATCTCTATCAATTTTGCTTTATGAATGATTTGTGACTTGTTCAAGACCTGTCCATTATGAGTGTGTGGTGTTTGTACAATGGGCTTCCTTATCATTTCAGTTCAGTAGGAGGTTCCTCTGCTTCTGAAATCTCTGAAAATAGCTTTATTTATTATCTATCAAGGTTTTTTAATACAGTTATTATGTTTTACCTTCCAGAGGAGCACTCATGGTTCAAGCATTTTAATATAGTGATCACTGTCACATTCACAACAAATTTCTGCCTCTGGATATCATTAAGAATGAAAATTTTTGTCATCAGCAGGCAGAATAATTGAAGAAAAATCTTTAAAGTATTAGTGGAATAAGGGCAGAACACACTGTCAGGTGTTCCTTAGCTACAAATATTTACTAATAGATGTTTGTTCACCTGGAATGTGCAACCACCAAAAGGAATTTTAAATGTTGCCAGATGGGTTGGATTCTACTGTTATTTTGAACACATCCATTAAGAGCTCGGAAAGAATTTCCCTTTCTCAACATCTGCCTTTCCGTCACTGAAATCCAGTCCCTGAGCATGGAAGTGGCTGGTGATTAAAAAGTTTCCTTCTGTTTCTAAAACAGAAATAGAAGAAAGGGAACACATCCTTTGTCTGCAATTAATTTGGAGTTATGGATTATTAACCTCAGTATTTCAGAATTATTTTTTCAAATGAAAATATTTCATCATTTTCCCATGAAGGGAAAATCAAACACGACAGAAAAGGTTCTGTTCCACTGTGGACTGTAAGAAACAAAAAGCAGAATTTTGAAAATCTGCCACAGAGGGAGGGACTTCAAAAATGTACTGTATGTCATACAAATGTTAAAAATACTCATACATAATTTGGAATATATATTTTTAAAATAGATGTATGTGTACATACATATGCTTACATGAATTTTTTGGGGCAAACTCCAGATTGAGTTCCCACAGTATGGGAGATGATGGCAAGAGGGAAATCTGCATGTGGGGACGCATCATTTTTGGTCACAGAGCAATCACAGCCCATCACCAAATGCTGCTGTTGGTTAGCATTGCCTGCATCACTCACTGGCTTTTCAGTCACCCTCCACACAAAAGTTATTTTACAATTTGCCAGCTATTTCCCAGGGCTTTAGAATGCCCTTTAGATATATTGTGTGGCTTTGCCCAAAGCAAACATGCACCTCAGGCTTGTGGACTATATTTCTTTCAGGGTTTTCTGGCTGCCATCACCTATTGATATTATTTGATTTGCAGCCTCTGTTCAAAGCAAACAAACAAAATCTCACAACTTCTTAAACCTTCCTCCACATAAGCCACTGATATTTGCTGGGAGCAGGAGGGACAGGTAAAGCTGTATTACACTTGTACTCACCCGTCTTTAGAAACGAAAGCAAAGGTTTAGCAAGTTATTTCCTTATGATTTTTCAGCCTGCCACTCTTAAGTTTCCTGGCTTTATCTCTGTTATGGGTGATGCTTCTTCCCATGGCCATGAGCAGGAGGGACAGACCCTCAGCAAAAAGACTCAAAGTGGAATTTTTCCCACCAATACTTCTGCCCAAAAAGTGTACAGGTGACTCAGCTGTCTGCAAAGCATCCAGCTACCATCCTTCTTGAAGCTCCAGTGGGTGTGTCAGGTGTTAAATGTGTGGGTAGGGAGGATATCCCAAAGCAGCGAGTATCCCAAAGTGATGCTCTGTGTTCACCTTTCCTGGTACCTGGAGCCTCACTGCCACCTGGTACAATATTGGCCAGCACAGAATGGGCTTCCAGGCTGTCGCCAGCACCTGCTGACACAAATATCTTCCTCCAGCTGTGGTCTCATTGATGTTTCCTTTAGCTGAGAGCCACAGCAGTGTATTCAGTTCCACCTCCTGCTCCTTTTCCATGGGATATTTCTGGATGCTTCTGCCTTCTGCAGGAAGCTCTCCTCTCCCCAGTGAGCCCAGAGGCTGCTCCTCCTTTCCCACACATTTACAGGTGGCTCCCAATATCCAGGCATTAACAGCAGCATTCCTCATGGCTTCGATGGAGACAGGCTTTTCCCCAAGGAACCTGCTCTATCACACCACCAAAGTTACTCCAATGTCATTTTCACTTAGCAGATAAAGCAGGTATTATTATTTGTTTGCTTTCAGTGTCAAAAAGGAGCTACTCCATGTAGCTTTGCCACAACTTTCTGACAAAAAATTGTTACATTTAAAAAAAATAAAAGCTGTTGAGTCTATGGTAAAGCAAACAAATCCTCATGTGTTAGCAATAGCTCTTTGCCTATATTGAGCTGATGGTAGTTCAAGAAGCAGATCTTTGCAAGAGATTAAAGCACCGGGTACATCCAGAATTTAATTCCAGCAGCTCTGGATAGAGTGCCACAAAAATCTTCCTAAAGGAAAGCAGAATGGTCATAGTGACCAGCTCCCTAAAAAGCCGGGGTTTTTTTGTTTTGTTTTGTTTTTTTCTCATGGGCCCCTTAAATATAGTGCTTAAATAGAGTAGTAATAGCAATAGTGCTGGATAAAATTAAATTTGTTCTCTCAATAAAACAAATATTTCCTTTTTAAGACAACCTAATCTTCATAGCCCAGAGTAGCAGTGCTTCCATACTAGACATGAATGTGGACATGAAGGGATGTTGAGCACTTCTTGGCTGTCCATAAGCTTGACACCTGCACCTGAATTAAAAATGAACAGGAAGGTTTCATCTGACTTGAATGCAGCTGCAGCACCATAAGGTACAAGTGGGCATTTCTCAGATGAAGAACCAACAGGGCTCAGCTGTGACTTCTTGTTGTTTTCTTTTAAATAACATTTTTATAATAAAGTCTGATTACATTGATGCCTTTATTCATTTATTTCTGCAGGAAAGCCAGTGGTAATTAACTCGCACCACAGCCTGCAATTTGCATGTTAAAGTTTACAATCATCCTGTCACGGGGCCATAATAAGCACCATTTTACAGGGGGAACTCAGTAATTGAGGGTTTGCTTTGCTCATGGCTCGCTGCAAAACCTGGGTGAGGCTTTTCGTGCCACCAGCTCCGTGTGCCTGGGTCTGCCCCGAGTCGGGCAGGGAACAAAATCCATCAGGCTGGCTCCAGGGGAGTGACAGCAGATCAATTTGCCATCCTGCCTCCCCAGTGACAGCCTGCCAGCACAACTAAACCCAGGCACAGGTACATAACACACTCTGGCAGTGAATTCAGGGTATTTCACCCTTCAGAGGTGGCTGTTTGAGCCAGGGCTCCTTTGGGACTAAGCACATGGCTTTTTGTCCCACATCCTGTTAAATTTACTGGGTGAACACCCCTCTCCTTAGGGACCTTGGGGGTCTCCCTCTTGTGCTCCTCCAAGTGTCTCCCTGGCCTTGCCAGGCCCATCTGCAGCGTTCAGCTCCTCTGGTGGTGCTGTGAGAAAGCCTTTTCTAAACTACTGCAAACAAAACCATGCAAGGGATGAAAAATAATTAGCCATGTGTCAGTGTCTGATATATTTGCATTGTTTAGACAGAGTAGTTAATCACTGGTAAGACCACAACACGTGGTGTGAATTTGGATTTTAACTAATACATATCAAGCAGAAGGCTATTAGTTGCATCTAAAGGCACTATTTGATATTTTATTATTGAGAAAGTGAATGCAATTAATTATATTGCAATGTCCTTGCAAGATTCCTGTGGCAATACCATGCAAAGAGCTGTTTGCTTTTAGATTCCTTTTCCTTTTGTTCAGACAGGAGCTAATTCAGGCAAGCAAAAGGCATCAGGAGCCAAGATTCTGTTCCCATTACTCCTGAAGCCTTGAGTGGTACTGGAGGGGTCAGCAAGAGTCGGCATTTTTTTAAGGGGTTTTAAATACAGGGTAAACTTTTCATTTTTGTAAAATAGTTGGTCTGCTGAAATGTCACTTCTTCCCTTGGGCTGGGAGTTAGCAAAGGACAGTCTCCATGTGGTCTCCAGAAAGGACTTCTGAGGGAAGGAATTTGATCCCAGATTTAATTAGAGGTGCAATATTTCCAAGTGTTCCCTCTCTGAAATGTCTCTTACCTACAGGAAATAAAAGCTTAGGGCACTTCTTTTTTATTTAAAAAGGCAATTGTATTAATTCAGCAAAATTTTGCATTGGAATTGCAATGGCTTTGACAGTTTAGTTCCCTGAAAATTGCAATAAAGCCTTCGTTACGCTACATTTTGTCCCCATTTGTCTTGTATACCATTGCCTTGCCTTTGGCACAATCAAAATAATCTTTAAAAATACTGCCATAAATGGATTGACTTTGACCTTCTGAGTATCTTGTCAATAAAATAAAAATGATAAATGTGTTTCAGAGTGCCACTGGCGCAATATTAAAGCAGAGTTACGATCTGAAAAGTGACGTTTGAAAAATTAAGTTATGGGGAGGGGTCTCTGTCAACGGTGCCACATAAATAAGCTCTATTTAGTGAAAAGAGGTGATTTTGCTAACTGCCAGTTTGTGCAATTCCTGTGATGTGGCCTCTGCCTCTTACATCATCATTAGCAATTAAAGATTACTGCAGCAAGAAATTAGCTGAGCCTTCTGTTGCTGAGGCACAGAGCAGAGCAGCTCCACCTCAGTCCCCTCCTGTGCCCACTCTGCAGTGCTGGCATGGAGAAAAGGGACCTGGCCTCGTCAAGGAATGGCTCAGACAACCACAAAAGGCCATTTTTGCTACATGATCAGCTCTTTGGAGATAAACGACTCCTAACAGAATTACCTCAAGGCTTTTTTTTTTTTTTTTTAATTAGATGAGAAGAAAAGAAATGAATATTCTGTAAAAAAACTCAAGAGATGTATGAAAATAAACAGGGCAGGCAAGTAAACAAACATGTCCCAAGGGGCAGCAGGCTTGGTTCAGACTTTGAGATGCACATACACAAGCCCTGATGTGTTTGGTTTTGTGCCAAGCTCAAGTGAGTCTGACTTTTGGCTTCACTATTTGCAGGCCTAACCAGAGCCGATTTCTCAAAACTCTTTACTCTTGTTTTTACACCATTTCTCTTTTTTTTTCTCTTTTCAACATTTCTTGTTCTGAATCTTCTCAGCGCATATTTAAAAGCACGTGAAGTGCACTTCATACTCGAGCATCAATTTATATCATGATTAAATCATTCATGCATGTAATAAATTAAGATAAAACCCCACGTACTTTCAAAGGTCAAAATGCTTTGGAACCTCAAAACACTACTGGATTTCTGAGGAGAGACTCAGATGTTAATCCCTAAAATTAGGCTGAAATCACATTAAAAGGTGAAGGGGGTTGGTTCTGATGCAGTTATGATGAAAATCTAGACAACTAAAATCTTTACATTACTAAACTTACACCTTTATATATTTAAATCTGGATTTGTTTGCCTTGAAAATTATCCCAGTCCCAAAACTAATTGGAACATAAAATGATATAGGATTCTCTTGGTTTGAAAAGACAGGTGTCTGCTAAGGAAGGCAGGAGCCTTCCTTGAAATGGAAAATTTGGTAAACCCCCTCCCTCCAAATTATTATAATTTTGAAATTAAAGGGGTCTCAGGCAAAGATATGGGAATAGGAATAACAGTTCTTTACTAGGAGAATTAAACATTTTAATGTTATAATACAAAAAAAAAGCAAACCACTGCCAGAGTCAGAATACAGCCTGACCCCCTGTGTGTCAGGGAGGTGGCAGCAGTCCCATCCCAGGGGGGCTCAGCCCTCCTGCAGTGCCAGCTGTGCTTCTGCTGGAGCAGGATCTGCACAAGGGGGGAGTTTTCCTCTGGAGCTCCAGGGCTGGGGGAGATGGGCCTGAGCTCCTCTGGGAATGCAGGGGAAGGAAGCTGCTCCTCTGGGAATGCAGGGGGAAGAAAACTGCTCCTCTGGGAATGCAGTGGGGAAGAAAGCTGCTCCTCTGGGAATGCAGGGGGAAGAAAGCTGCTCCTCTGGGAATGCAGGGGGCAAAGGCTGCTGCGCTGTTCCCAGGTCAGATTGTATCCAGGTAGGAATGCTCGGCTCCCCCGCCCTGGGTGGAGCATCTCTCCATGGGATGATGGAATTTTCTCAGCCATGCAGGGACACTCACTGGCCATGAACAGAAGATAATTAATAATTAATGGCCCATTAGAAGAGTTCTCCTGAAGGGAGGATTGGTTTGTAGAAGAGATAAAGAAAACAGCCCAATGATAACTGCCCCACCTCTGGCAGAGAGGAGTAGAATACCCACCCTCAATTTCCAACCTCAGACAAGGATTTAAGCAGCCATCAGCAGCATCCAGTGGAATTAAAGTGATGAACTAATTATTCATTGCCCTCTCCCCCCTCCCCAGCTCCCGAGTGCTGGCCGGGGGGACACCGCATCCTCCGCAACCCCCGCAGGAGCACCAGCTTCGACTCCCTGGAGCTGCAGCGAGCGGCCAGCCAGGACCTGGTGTGTGACCACTCCTTGCCACCGGCGTGGTACCGCCTCATGCTCGGCCAGCGGCCCGTGGAAATGCCCACCAGATGTGTCGAGGTCAGCAGAACCTGAGCACTCCCCATGGGAGCTGGAATAAACCCTCGGGGGGCTTTTCCTCCCCGTCACTCTCTGTGCTGCCCCTAGACTGTGTGGATTAGGTGGGGCGTAATGGGAAAACCACTTGAATAATGAATGATGATGATGATGATAATAATAATAATAATAATAATAATAATAATAATAATAATAATTGTTGTCTTGATTTTTAAAAGTGTTACATTTTCTTTTATAGTTCTTTGAAAGTTTTCAAGTTCAGATGTCGCTATTGAACATAAAATGAGTACACAGAAGCTTGGTAAGTTTAAGAGAGAAAAAGACCCAATTTTATTTCTGACCTCAAAATATCTAGAATTCCAAAAGTGACAGTGGATTGGAGGATGAAATTGTTACTTCTGCAACCACACTGGTCAAACCAAAAGTCCATCAATTCTCTCTTCTTACAAAGAAGAATGCAAAACAATCATTATTTACATGAACAGTGTGTGAGAACTCCAGTACAAATTTGTAAACATTATCAGAAGGCTAAAGAAGTTTTATGAGAACTTTCAAAATAACTATAAAAGAAAACATAAAACTTTCAAAAATCAGGGCAACAAATAATAATTGCAAGAATAACAGCAACAACAATAAAACCAACAGCAACAAAACCATCACCACCACCATCAGAACCAACAATACCACTATCACATGCAAGGGCATCAGTCAGAGACCAAGATCCCTATGGAACAGCCAATATTTAACCAGGCTAGGAAATATTCCAACATAAAACCAGATGTTTTGCAACTCTACAGAAATTTTTAGTAAACCCTGTATGTCACCTCAGGCTGTGCTTTTCTCAAGCAACTGTATGGCTTTAAGAATGGATTCTGCAACCTGACATTTCTCCCTATAAATTATTATGAGGATTATTAGGGATTTCTTCTGCTGATGAAATCAGAAAAAATAATATTTAAAGCACTCTTTGAGGAAACTGAAGGAAAAGCTAAAGTTGAATCTCTTTCTGCATTGAATCAATTCTTGCATTCTTTAGTTTCATAAGTATGCTAATGGCTTTGTGGAGCAAAAAAACCTTCATCACTCTCTATAAAAGAGACAAAACAATAATTATCTGGTTTTATCTGTGTTTAATATGTATGACAATAATGTTTAACTTGCAGTTATTGTTGCCAGAGCAACTTGAGCCCCTTACTAAAGTCATTGCCACCTCAAATATCCCAACTGCAGGAGGTTAGCATAATTTCAAACATAAACAAAATTATTCAGAAAAGAATAAACTAATTACCATAAAACACTTAAAAGAGGAAATATTCAACCTAGAGTGCTAGGGTGTTTGGTCTGGGGTGATTCTACTCTAGCTGGAGAACCCTCTCAAAATTAGCAAGAACATTTTATATCCATTCAAAGGGGACCTGTGAAGTCATCACAACTGAAGTTTATCTTAAAAATTTAACATGTAGTGAATGTTAAGAGATAGTTGTTATTTCTGTAGAATTTTTAATACTTTGCATACATAAACTATAAATTTAATTGACATTAATAAATTGGTGGGATTATTATTGAAAGATTCATTTCATGGCATCCTTAAATATCTCAATGCACTATGAAGTTTTCCAGGTTGCTCTATAAGTATACATATATATTCTATAATATTATTTAATTTTTCATTATATTTCAGGAATTCTGAGTGTGTAGCAATGCTCAGCTGTATGAGACTGCTTTCTAACAATGCATGCTTTGTTTCTTTTAATCTCTTCTCTGGAGTTTCTCATTCAGGTTTGTGAAGCTATATTCATTAGTTTAGTTTCTTATCTTGTAACATAATTCTTGCCATTGGTTTCTTCATTATCCTCTGAATGACAGTAAATCTCTGCTTTGCCATGCTGATGAAGGATTACATCTGTTAGATGTCAAAACTGAAAGAATACGCTTCCTTTAGATCTTCACCTTCTAAATCTGCCTCTACATTCTATCTCTTCCACTTAATTAAATCATTGTTTGATTTGGTTTTCCATTTAATTTCAGCAAAACCTCTGGAACAAAATAATTTAAATTAATAACTGTGCAGCTTCCACTCCTTAATAAGCAGTTATTATTGGACATTCCAGTCTGGCTGGAGCGAGCTGATTTTAATTAAAAAAGTCAAAGACAAAACCCTGAACAGATAGAAGAGAAAAAAAAGACCAAATAAAGCCTGACAATACGGCCGCAGAATTAAAAAGTACATTACGCCAGCACCTTGTAAAATATATACCCAGTGTTGATACTGGCCAGATACAATTAGCTGCTTATCAATGGATGAGATTAACTTCTTAATTCAGAGTGCTGGTAGGTAAGGATTCCTGTCACCCAGCTGAGCTCAGGAGGGATTTAAGCCAGAATGGAGATTTGGAGCAGGGGAGAAGTGTGGGAGGACAAATGGCACCTGCTGGGGGACACGAGGGAGGGGAGCTCCCACAGCCTGATCCTCCAGACAGCCTCTCAGTGCCCGTGTTCTGAGTCCTGCCATGAAATAAACCTCCACAATAAAAATATCTCCCTGTCTGCATGCTGCTTCATAACCACAGGGAGTGTTGGATTCAACAGGGAGGAGAAGCAGGTCACACACGGGGGCTGTGGGAGCCCCAAAATGCAGCCGTGCCACAGCTCAGGGGCACAGCAAACTTTCCAATGAAAAACGAGCATCCACTCATTTAATAAAAAAGTGGGGGGAAAAGGGAGAAAAGACAGAAGAAAACCACACAAGCTACAAAGCAGAAAAAAAAGACAGAAGAAAAACCCAAAAGCTTTTATGTCAGAGAAAGTGAAAATATTAATTGCATTCCTGAAATTGCCATCCCTTGAATCCAACTGCTGTCCATAAACTTATTCCTCCAGTGGCAAAATGTTTTTGATTGAAAGAGCTTTCCAATTTAGGCTTTGCCTGCTGAATTTCTCAGGGCAGGTAACAAATGATCCTGACCTTCCTCCCTCCATTTCTTCCTTGCCTTTCTCCTCCTTCTCCCAAAGGAGGCACAGCAATTACCAGATCCTGAACATGCAATCCTGGCCACAACCACTTCCCTATCCAAAAATATATTGTAGTAGAAGTCCAATAAAAATTTGCAAATTTTGGATCCTCAGGTGTTGAGGGTTGCTGCACAGATCAAGGTTTGTTCTTAAGAACTGCTTTTCTGTGAAGGGCAGAAACAGGGAATGAAAAAAGTATAGTGAAGCTTATATTATACTAAGATTAAGGCAGTATATTAAGAAGCAAGAAAAAATGCAAAGACATGCCAGACCTTCAGAGGAAGAACAAAAGACGGAAAAATTAAAGCTCAACAGAAAATCTATTGAAAATACAGAGAAGTACTTAACAGCCAATATGGGAAAACATACATCAATTACAGAAATTCCAACTTCTGAATTAAAATAATACAGGGTATATGCATACACCTGCATACATGTAAATAGGGGCAAGCCTCATGGGAGGCACAAACACTAAAAAGAAATGTGAGGGAACATCACACACTAATGTTATTGAAGATCTGCTCCACAGTCAGATAAAAGATCAATCTACGGATTACAGCAGAGCAGTGCACACTACTGCCTGTAATGCAAATTTAAATGCCACACCACACTCACAGTAAACCAGAAATGGGCTGAAAATTCTCTTCTTCCTGTGGAGAAGTTCCACTGGCCCCAGGTGCTTGTCCTCACCAGCATGTCTTTTTCTGGAGGGAATGGTAGGAAAGGGGAATAATTTCACTTTTGCACTTTAACAATCTCCAGCAACCCCTGGTTCAGAGACTTCTGGGTTCAGACACGGGTTGTTCAATTTTTTTTGAGGGCAAGAGGAGGGGCAGGCACTGATCTCTTCTTTGTGGTGACAGTGACAGGACCTGAGGGAATGGGAAATTATGTCAGGTGACGTTTAGGTTGTATATTAGGAAAAGGTTCTTTCCCCAGAGGTGGTTGGGCACTGAACAGGCTCACCAGGGAAGTGGTCACAGCTCCAAAAACTGCAAGGAAGAGGTGATCCACAGATCTTGACAGAGCTCAGAAGTGTTTGAACAAAGCTCTCAGGCACTTGATGTGACTCTTGGTGTTCTCCTGTGCAGGGCTAAGATTTGGACTTGATGACCCTTGTGGGACCCTTCCAGCCTCACAGATTCTGTGATTTAAATTAATTTCTCTCCCATTATCCAGCCCCATAATTGTAATTTTTTGGCACACACAATTCTGTAGCAAGATTTTCTACAGGTTACTTATGGATATGAGACTCCGGGAAATGTCCAGTAATACCTGCCTGTGATGGGGTATCAAGATAACTTCCTATATCTTTCTTCAGAAATTTCATCCTCTAAATGAGCAAAACCCTCTCCAAATCTGAACATGCTGCAAATTCACGTACAATTGTAAATATGCTTGTGTAAATGGAGGATGTGTTACGTAGTAAGAGTTGGTATTCTCTCAATAGTTTCATTTTTAGCAATGTAGGTTTACTTTTTTGCATGTCTACTAGGATCAAACACAGGTTTAAATGCTAATCTTTGGTGTATAAAACAAGGTCATGTTAAAGCGTGTCAAATCTAACCTGCTCATGATGCTTAATATGTTAGTCCCTAGAGGAGCAGATTTATTTTTCCATACTTATTTTCATTCCCTCCTCTTTAACCTCTTCTAGAACATTTTATACTCAGAATCAAAACACAGCACCTCAGCTGCATGCCATTAATTTATTATTTTGTTTCAATTATTATTTTGCTCTGAATCCAGCCCCACTTTGATTTGCAATTGTTCTATGAATTTAAAAGCAAATTACACTTTCAAGGTATTATTTAATCTGTAATTCTTTCTTGAACACTTACATGAATATTCCAAATCATAATGCTAGGTATGAAGAGCCTTTGTTTTTCTTGCTTGTTTTTCAGACATGCAAAAACCCTTCTGTAGAAATTACAATTATAGCCTTTATTGTTCAGAGGCATGTGCTTAAAAGAAAAACAAGACAAGCACCA